AGGCAGCTTGTTCCAGGCGACCGCGGCGCTCTGCCTCAGAGGTGTAAAAAATATCAGATGTTCTCCGGCGGCGAGGAAACGACGAGCTCTGATGGAGCTGACATGTGAGGCGGCGGCCATGATGAACCGCAGCATCAGGGCCGCAGCATCAGGGCCGCGGCATCAGGGCCGCGGCATTATTAGTGAAGCACTTCAAAGAGTTTTACATCATAAACACAAAGAATAAATATTATATTGTTACATTTCTAATCAAACTCTAATCAGCTGGTTTTAGTCTGAGTTTCTGCTGCTTTACAGGATATTAATCTACCAGTTAACCAGTAAAACTAACAACTAGTCATCCAGTCAATTCACCATTAAACCAGTTAGTTAACCAGCTAGTTGAGAATTGATTTGACTGATGTTATTTTTAAAACATTAAGTTTTCTGTTTTAGTTCTGCTTTAATAAACTCATAAACATAAAAACAGCTTGATCTGCAATAAAGTTGATTTATAAAATCAATAATGTTGTTTTTTTTTATTCAGTTAAATCTGATTTATCCAAATAAGTTGCTGCTCTGCAGTTTTATTCAAAATAAACTGTTTAAATTAAACTGTAATTATTAATAACATTTAGACTTTAATGGCAACAAAAGTTGGATTTAAAAAATTACAGATTTTTAAAATTTATAATTTAAAAAATTTAAAAATCTATTTTTATGTTACTGAGACGTAAAAATAATTGTTTACTTCCAGAATAATAAACTTCTTCATGACTCTGTAGAAGATGATAATCAGGACGATTATTGGAGAAATAAAGGTTTTTGCAGCTGAAAGAAACAAACTAATTATTATAAAAATCAAGAACTTCTGCAGGTGACGGATTATTTTTTATTTATCGTACTTTTAATGCAGATAGCAGAAAGTTTAATGTGCAGTAAAATCTGATCAGTTTTCTACTGGTTGATTTCAGATTGTTTCTAGTTAAATCCTCTTGTTGTTTCTATAGATGTAGAATGTATAGATGCTGAAAGCCGGCTGGTTTTCTCTGCTCTGCCGGTGTGACTGGACCTTCATAGAGCCGTGAATATTCCTAGAAACGTTTCTTTCGAAGCTCCGGTTCACAAGGCGCCATCCGTCCGTCCCTCTCTTCCTCCCGTCCGTCCGTCCCTCTCTTCCTCCGTCCGTCCGTCCCCTCTTCCTCCCGTCCATCCGTCCCTCTCTTCCTCCCGTCCGTCCGTCCCTCTCTTCCTCCCGTCCGTCCGTCCTCTCTTCCTCCCGTCCGTCCGTCCCTCTCTTCCTCCCGTCCGTCCGTCCCTCTCTTCCTCCCGTCCGTCCGTCCCTCTCTTCCTCCCGTCCGTCCCTTTGGGAGGATCTCAGTGGGAGCTTAAGCAGGGAGCAGCAGCGGCGGTTGAAGCGCAGCTGTCTGGCTGAATGCTAATTGATTTGGGCGATTTGTGGCCCTGGAGGGACGAAGGATGGATGGAGGGAAGAGCAGAGGCTTTGAAGAAGGAATTAGGTTGAGCTGTTGGTTCAGCGTCTGTCCGGGTAAAAATGGAGACGAGAGGAAAAACATCGACTGCTGGCGACTTCTGGATCAGGGAGGAAGAGGAGAGGAAGAGGAGAGGAAGAAAAGTTCATGTGAAGAATCACTGAATCTGAATCACATCTGGTTTAAAACAGCTGAAATGTTTAGGATCCATTCATAATAAACCGATCAATCGATTCTCTGATAGATCTGATTCCAGTCTGATAATGATTACCGCCAGCCTGTTGCTGGTTGCTGTTGCTCCTTGTTGCCTCCAGCTGAGCAGCTCCTCTAATCGTTGCTGATATTTATGAACATCCAGAGAACTTCAGCCAAGAGACGCATCGTCTCCAGATGAACTGGAAGAGCTTCAGTCTCATAAACCCATGTCCATCTGTCCATCTGTCCATCCGTCCTCATCAGCATCAGCAGCTTCTCCTCCTGGACCTCAGGATGTTTCCAGGCTAGTAGCATTAGCTTCAGGCTAGTAGCGTTAACTTCAGGCTAGTAGCATTAGCTTCAGGCTAGTAGCGTTAGCTTCAGGCTAGTAGCATTAGCTTCAGGCTAGTAGCGTTAGCTTCAGTCCACCATGAGGGAAGAGTCCAAGCTCCCACAAACCGACTGATCCAATTGGTTCTGAGAAAACCAGGATTTTATCTGAGATCGTCCTGGATGAAGGATTAGCGCCCTCTGGAGGAAAACTCATCCAGGTTTATTTAGTTCAACTCCAGCCCAGTGAACTAGTCAAAGTCCAGTTCAGTTGGTGAGGTGTCGACCTCTGACCTCTGGTCCTCCAAACCTCGGTCTGGGTTCGGTTTAAGTGAACTCTGGTTCGGTTTGAATGTGAACGCCAACCTGACCAAAGACCGCTCCAAAAGCAGGAAGTGGACAAAACCGCAGGGCATTCTGGGTAAATCCAACCAAAGCTAACATGTTAGCCTAGCGCTAGCAGCAGAAATGGCTCCTGGTCTTCAGCCAAAGACTAAAGAAAAATCAATAAACACTGACGCCTTGGTGAAATAGGAAGTTGCTCTCAGTGTCTCCAGAGGTTTTAGTGTCGTTTCCTGCAGTGGTTGTTGGTGCAGCGCCCCCACAGGCCAGGAGGGGAACAGGTTGCTCAAGAGTAGAGAGAAAGAGAACCACAGCTCCTTCGTTGGATTGTTAACAAAGTTAACAATCGTTGCTCTGATTGGACAGAAGTGATGGAGGAAAGTCTGAAATCCCGACCTTCCCTTCATCCGTCATCAGTTCGTGAATCTGCCAGCGGCGCTCCGGCTGTTTGTTCCTGAATGTTTTTGTTGTTTGTTTCTCCTCTCAGTTTGATCTGTTTCCTGTTGGACCTGCTAACCAAACCATGATGGCCGCTCTGCTGCCGGCGAGCTCAGGAGAAATGGAGCCTGTTTTCACCAGAGCAATTAAAAGTCTAAGAAAAACCTGCAGCAGCAATTAAAGGCGAAGTTCCTGACGAGTTATTTTCTGCCTCACTCGGCGCTAACCTCGGCCTGCCGACTGCTTGTGTTCATAAATAGCTCCGAGTGGCACACAGGAGGTTCAGCCTGTTTCATTACGGCTGTTAGATAATTTGGTTTTAATCATTTCTGCGACTCTCCGCCCACAGCAGCTCTTTGATTGGCTTCACAGCAGCGCAGCCGTTTGAACGCCAGGACAGATGAACCGGGTTCAGCAGCAGTAATCACACCTGAACCGTCCGCATGTTTCACTCAGACACGCGTTTACCACAGGCTTCTGGGTAATTCACTGAATCGACGAGCCTGACCCTCAGCATGATGCAGCCAACTCCTGGTTCGGGACGCGTTTGGTCAGAAACTGTTTCTCCTCTTCCAGACGTTCGTCTGCTTCCCAGTTTGATTTCAACTTTAAGACTTCCTGTTTTATTTTTGTATCCCACCTGAGCAGCAGATCTCTGGAGCTCCTCCAGAGCGGTTGGGAATCATTTTTATTTAAATCAGAAGTCTGGTTGGTTTTCCATCAGTCGGGTTTCCAGGCAGCCTGGAAAAGTTTGGAAAAGTCTTTAATTAGCTTCTGGTGTTTCCAACCTGTTTTCTATTTTAGTGAAATTTTAATGAGACAAAAAGTCAGTGAGATTTGATCTTCAATAAGAGATGAAGAGTCATGATGATCTTTACTTTTTGTTTCACTCAGCAGCTCAGTTTCCCTGTTTCTTCCTCAGCTTCCAGTGTAACCAGTTTTTATCTTTGAATTTAATAAAGCTAATAATAATAATGAAGCCCAAACAATTCAGTTTTTTCCTTCAGGCCACAAAATGAAGAGGAAATCATTTGATTTGAAGATTTTTAATTCCTGGTAAAAAATTGAAATTTGAGGCTCAATAATAAATATGAATAATGTAACATGTGCTTCATTATGGCACATTTACCCTGCAGTGTGTGTGTGTGGTGTGTGTGTGTGTGTGTGTGTGTGTGTGTGTGTGTGTGTGTGTGTGTGTGTGTGTGTGTGTGCAGTGTACAGGTGTCCCTGTATCGATCCCCCTTCCAGCTATATGGGCTGGATGATGGAGACATCAATTATTAAACATTAATACTCTATCTCATAAATACCAGTCAGTCTGTGTGTGTGTGTGTGTGTGTGTGTGTGTGTGTGTGTGTGTGCGTGTGTGTGTGTAATTGCATTAGTCTCTCTCTCTGACATTTCCACCAAATGTAGCGATGTTCAATTATTCATGAGCCGCTGAGCGCGGGCGAGCGACATAGAGAATGAATGGAGAGAGAGAGAGGAGATCATGTTGTGTTTTGTTATTGTAGGTTTAATGTGTTGTTAGTCATTTTGTCAACTGTGGAGGTGGAGAGAGAAAGGGCAAGATGATGAAGAGCTGGAATAGAGGAGGAAGGACAGAACGGAGTAAACAGGAAGTACATGACGAGGCTTCCTGGTTTCAACAGGAAGTAGTTTCCCATTAGAGACAGAAACAGTTTCCACTTCCTGTTTGAGGACAAAACCATCCCATCTGCTTTCAGCAGGCCCTCAGCATGACCCTGCCACCACCATGCCTTACAATGCTGCTCGCATCACTGAGCTCAAACGGCTCAACCTTCATCTGAACCACCAGAGGATTTTGGATCAGCGTCACATTTCAGTCCGACTTAAATGATTCTTTTTGGTGAATCATGAAAGGAATCAGTCATTCGGGTCCAGAAATGGGTGCCAATGTGAGGAAGAGTGAAACGTCTTCGTCTCATCGTCTTGAAACATAAAACTTCTCTGCCTGAATAATTTGGGTTTTTACTTGATCCTCTAATATTTTACATTTCATTACCAAAGAGTTAGCTGGTGATTTAACAGAGTAAAATAAATAAAATAATAAAACGAGACACAAATGTTACTGTGAAAAGTAACAGACCGGGTCATGAAGCAGCAGAACTCTGCGAACTCTTAGTTTAAAACAAACGTCAGACATGAAGACACATCGTTACATGGTGATGCTAACGGTCCGATTGTTTCTGTGCGTTTCAGGACGGGCCGGCGGAGTCACTGCTACCGCATCGTCTACCGCCACATGGAGCGAACTTTGACCCAGCAGGAGGGGCGGCAGGTCCACCAGCAAATCGAGCGGATGGCGGAGACGGAGCTGGCGTTCAAGGCCGGTTCTGAGTCTGAGCGGCGTAGATCTACGCACACAGAGCCTGAGCTGAGCAGCTGTGACTGTCGTGCTCAGGCGTCACTCTGCTGTAGATGCTGCTGCCGGCGGTTCACACGCTGCTGCAGCACTTCGTCATCCTCCCTCCGCTCCCTTTCAGCCGTAACGTGTGAATCTGACGTGCGTCGCCTTTAATTTCCAAAAACATCGTCTGGTCGGCCAGCGATTGCCGGTGACGCTGCAGGCTGATCTCCAGCAGGTCTGAACTCCAGGCTGTTAACCCTGATGACTTCCTGTCTCTGAAACCAGCTACAGTCGATGTTAAATTACCTATAAAAGTCATCTAATTTAAAAAACCTGCTGTGTGAAAGTAATTTGACTCTTGAACCTTTTTGGGACAGAAAGTTTTAGTACCTTCAGCTGTTTGGACACAGGGAGAAATTTATCTGAAATGTTTTTGGAAACTGTTTTGAATGTTGACTAAAGAGGAAAAGTTAATAAAAACGTTTGCACTAACCTGGTTGCATAAGTGTTTCATTCGCTGTTATTTAACTCTAGATTCGTTTCAGGCTTCAGTTTCAAACCTGCCATCAATCTGACGACCTGCTGGACTTTCCAACGACTTACCTGTCCAGGTGACCACGAACCTGAAGGACCCTGTTTAACAAAGGTATCAATCAGGAGAAGGACATCAGTTTATCCAGGTGCTTCTCTTATTATCTGTATATAATTCACCAGGGCTTTAAGGCAGGTAGAAATGTTTCCACCCGTTTCACGTTTAGCTGATGAATCCAGGTTTTTCTGCCCAACTACCCAAAAACTACAGAGTCCCTGAGGAGACATTTAATTATCTAAAAGACATAAGAACCTGAGTGAGGTTACATTTGTCTCTCTCTGATAGGAATCTGGGTTTTCTTACTGATTAGGCTTTTAAACTAGACCAACTGGATGCTGCAGATGTTAAATCAGTTTTTCCAAATTCTTTGTAAAAGTGAAACTGAATCTCAATCATTGAGTTTCATAATTCAGACGATCTGAACCGACTGCTGAGATCAATATGAAATCATATCAGCTGGTCTTTTTAAGAGAACATTCCTACCGGTTTCTGTTCCATCCACTTCAACCCAACAACAGTCCGCCTGTCTAGTCAAAGTCTGGTTCAGTTGCTGAGGTGTAAACGCAAATCAACCTCTGACCTCTGGTCCTCCAAACTCGGTCTGGGTTTGGTTTGAATGTGAACACCAAGCGTACCAAAGACCGCTCCAAAACGCAGGGCATTCTGGGTAAATAGAACCAAAACTAACATGCTAGCCTAGCGCTAGCAGCAGAAATGGCTCCTGGTCTTCAGCCAAAGACTAAAGAGAAATCACTAAACTCTGAGCCTCCATCTTGTTTCATCTGGTGAAACAGGAAGTTGCTCTCAGTGTCTTCAGAGGTTTTAGTGTCGTTTCCTGCAGTGGTTGTTGGTGCAGCGCCCCCACAGGCCAGGAGGGGAACAGGCTGGTTTGACTCAGAGCAGCTGAGGTGGAGCAGATGTTCTGGTTCCAGTAGAACCGGGTCGACTGGACCATCAGGAGGAAACCAGCCAAAGCCAGGTGAGTCCAGTCCAGCCCCTCGACTCGTCTGATTGAAGTAGAACCTTGACCCAAACGGATCTGATGGCTTTAGCTTCTATTTGGTTCTTCTTTTGTTTCCTCTTAAATTTATTGTATTTAACATCTAAAATTCAGTTTTCATAACGGTTTTTTGTTTATTTCTGATGTTCTTAATTAACTTTATTTATAGAAAAAAGCATTGACAGTATGAGTTTTGTTTTCTAGAAAATACAAAGATAGAAATAAACAGACATCCGTTTTATTCTGAAGCTCATTAAACATTCAGGGATTGTTTCGGGCTCCTGTCACTGTCTGAACCACGATGCTCCGAGATCCAGCCATGATGAGTTTCTTTAATTTCTAAATAAATTAAAGCAACAATAAAACCGTCCCTGACAGCACAGCTGCTCCGTAGCGAAAACCAACAATAATTAGGCGTCTTACTTTGACAGCTCTGTGAAAAAATCCCATCTCAAGCTCAAGAAGTCATCTTAGTTCATTTTTATTGTCGTTTTCGCAAAAAAAAAAAATTCCCTTACAGTGGAACAGATGAGGTTGGTGTCGGGTTGTGTAATGAGGAGAACCTGCAGGAGGTCACGGGGTCGACGGGGGCAGTTCAGGAAACAAACTTGTCAGAACAGAAGAGTTCATGTTTCATTAGAACCAAGTGGATCCTGAACATCTAATCGACTTTCTGCTCGATTAACTTCCAGCTTTTACTGAAATTATTAAGATTAGTTTTCATTGAAGTAAATGAGAGAAAATCCTGAAGAAACACACCAACAGACTTTTTCTTCGATTTCATCTACAGATGCAATCATTTAATATTTATTGACAAAATAAAACCTGTGTTTCTGCTGTTGAAAATTTAATCTGATTAAATGTTTTTCTAACTTCATCTTTCCAGAGCCTACATGCCAGCATTGAGATGCTAACATGTAGGCTAGATAGCTTCACTGATTAGTGAACTGCTTTTAGCACTACTGGAACACAACAGCAGTATTTTCAGATCATTTTAAAAACAGAAATTAAAACCCAGTGGGACCAAAGACGCTCTGTTGTTAGCAGATGTAGCCTGTGCGTCATGTTATGAGCATAACGGAAACACGTGACTATAAATATTCGGTGGGAACTCTTGTATGCCAAAAAACCCCAAACAATTAATTGCTTTAAAACTTTGAACACATCACAATCTGTGTAACTAATTAATCAAAATGAACACATCCCTGAAAACAAAAGCCTTCTAAAAATATTTACATATTCCTGATTGACCACAATGTCTGAATCTCCTCAATGCAACAAACACAATAAATGATCAGACCTCCAAGACCTTTACATCCCACTACCAAACAAACTGCCATCTTTTTCCCCTTCAACCTCTCCAAGCAGCCATTCCGGTTCAGAGTCATGACCTTTAACCTTTATTGGCTAACTGAGGCCTCCAGAGTCAGAGACCGAGATTTCTGGATGTTTGCAATTTTTTCCTCCTGGGAGTGACTGAATGATGGATGACCTCTGACCCTAGTTTTATTTTTGTTAAATATTCAGTTAAAATAGTTAGCAGTTAGCAGCATGGAGTTTTATGTGATGTTTGTCCTGATCCGTTTCACCGAGTCGAGAGTGTCCTCACCGATAGTGTCTGGGTCGCTCCTGGGTCCTCAAGAAGATAGAAAGGAAAGTACACACACACACACACACACACACACACACACACACAACACACACACACACACACACAGTCATTAGAAGAAACACTGCTACATTCATTCACACATACAGCATAACAACCAGTCAGCATACTGTCACCGAAACGAGCCGCTACGCTGGCTTAGGCTGGCACGCAGACAAACACACACACATGCACATGCCCACACACGCCAACACACACGGAGGGTGAACAGACAAACGCCACTCTGCCAATCAGCCGCTGCTGCCTGTCGCCGCTGGTTGGCTGCGCTCGTCACTCTGGTGGAGTTAAATCTCAGCTCTGACAGTTTGAGGCCAAGCTTATAGTTTGGACACTGCAAATTCTCTCTTCAATATTTAATCAGTGTGCCTGTTTTAGTATTCTGACGCCCGGGAAAGAGTATCGGTGCAAAAAGTCCCACATTCAGAGCAGAACTTCACAGATTCACCCTGAAACTGGATCGCCTCGGCCTCTGCAATCCGGCTGCTAGCAGAGGTTAGCGGCTCCACTCGTGTAGGATTCTGGTTCTGGTTTGGTCCTGTTAAGCAGTCAGAAAACATCAGCTGATTGGCCTGTTGGAGGAAAATGTTTTTTTAAAACTTGGTTCAGTCAAACGGTGTCGCAACAGAAAGTCAACAGAATGTGACTGAAATGAGAACAGAAACAGAAGAAGACTTTACGTTCACTGCGACAGAAACTTTCAGTTGTGATTAGTTTATTTTTTTCACATACTAAAGTTCCTGCCAGAACATTTCTGTTTGCATGTTTCTAGCACTCATAAATCTGACGCACAAGATACATCAGCTAACAGCAGCGATGGACAACGAAGCTGCTTGGAGGTGATGCAATAGAGAGAAAACGTGGCCCTGTGTTGTCTTTTGAAGTGGTTAGTTGTTAGTTTTTGAAGATTCTAGTTTTTGAAGATTTTGGTCTTTGAAGTTTTTAGTTTTTGAAGCTTTTAGTCTGAAGCTTTTAGTGTTTGAAGTTTTTAGTTTTTGAAGCTTTTAGTCTTTGACGTTTTTAGCTGTTGAAGCTTTTAGTCTTTGAAGTTTTTAGTTTTTGAAGTTTTTAGTTTTTGAAGCTTTTAGTTTTTGAAGTTTTTAGTTTTTGAAGCTTTTAGTCTTTGAAGTCTTTAGTTTTTGAAGCTTTTAGTTTTTGACGTTTTTAGTTTTTGAAGCTTTTAGTCTTTGAAGTCTTTAGTTTTTGAAGCTTTTAGTCTTTGACGTTTTTAGTTTTTGAAGCTTTTAGTCTTTGAAGTTTTTAGTTTTTGAAGCTTTTAGTCTGAAGTTTTTAGTTTTTGAAGTTTTTAGTCTTTGAAGTTTTTAGTTTTTGAAGCTTTTAGTTTTTGAAGATTTTAGTTTTTGAAGCTTTTAGTTTTTGAAGCTTTTAGTCTTAGAAGTTTTTAGTTTTTGAAGCTTTTAGTCTGAAGTTTTTAGTTTTTGAAGCTTTTAGTTTTTGAAGTTTTTAGTTTTTGAAGCTTTTAGTCTTTGAAGTTTTTAGTTTTTGAAGCTTTTAGTCTGAAGTTTTTAGTCTGACGTTTTTAGTCTTTGAAGTTTTTAGTTTTTGAAGCTTTTAGTCTTTGAAGCTTTTAGTCTTTGAAGATTTTAGTTTTTGAAGCTTTTAGTTTTTGAAGCTTTTAGTCTTTGAAGCTTTTAGTTTTTGAAGATTTTAGTTTTTGAAGTTTTTAGTTTTTGAAGCTTTTAGTTTTTGAAGTTTTTAGTTTTTGAAGCTTTTAGCTTTTGAAGCGTTTAGTCTTTGAAGCGGCTTCATCTGGTTGCAGATGCTGCTTGGCGTCAGACAAAGAAAGAAACTGATTGCGCGAAAATGTTAACAAAATAAAATGTTTGTTCTTAAA